ATACACCAGGAAATGCACACACAGCAGAATACTTACAAGTAGCAGCAGTAAAAGCTATAACAAAACTGTGAAAAATAAAATTCAAATGTCTAGTACGCCGCTTGGTCGTAGACAATGCTGCAAATGTATCCAAGATGAGAAGAAATTATTTAGAAGAGAGTCCCAAGCTAACGACGGTTGCAGTGCTCATTTAATGCACCTCCTAGCCAAAGACTTCAGTGTTCCAGAAATAAAGGCTAATGTTGTTGAAATTGCAAAATACACTTCTACCCCAATATAACATGACCCGATATAACACGAATTTGGATATAACGTGGTAAAGCAGTGCCCCGGGGGGGACGGGGTGTCTGCACACTCTGGCGGATCAAAGCAAGTTCGATATAATGCGGTTTCACCTATAACGCGGTAAGATTTTTTGGCTTCCGAGGACAGCGTTATATTGGGGTAGAGGTGTACTTCCATAATAACCACTTCGCAGCAGCTGCTCTGAAAAAAGTGGGAGGAACCAAGCTAACTCTCCCACAAGACGTGCAATGGAACTCAGCAGTGGACTGTTTTGAGCACTGTATCAAGAACTGATGACAGTTTGTGAACAAAATCGTGAAAAAAAAATAGATGGCACTGTCACAGCCAAAGTTCTCAACATTGGGCTTAAGAGAAATGTTGAACACATGCTGAGTACCCTGAAGCTTATTTCTGTATCCTTGAACAAAATGCAGGGAAATAGCTGTTTTATTGCTGATACTGTTGAAATTTGGAAGGAACTGAATGAGATCTTAAAAAGAGTAATATGCAATGACAGAGTTAAATTACAAGCATTAAAAAAACCGAATAGAACAAGCACTATCCCAGCTCATTTTCTTGCAAATATTCTCAATACTCGGTACCAGGGTCAAACTTTAACTGCTGAAGAGGAGGAGTTGGCTATGACATGGATATCCAGCAATCATCCCTCCATAATGCCAACTATAATAAACTTCAGAGCTAAGGGTGAACCATTCAAGAAATATATGTTTGCTGATGATGATGTTTGAAAGAAAGTCACACCAGTGAACTGGTAGAAGTCACTTAAGCACTTGGATTCAGAGACTGTTGAAGTGAATCTCACTTTTAACAGCTGTAGCTTCTTCTGCCGGTGTAGAAAGAATATTTTCTTCCTTTGAACTAATTCGTTCCAAATTGAGAAATCGTTTGGGACCTGAAAAAAGCAGAAAAGCTTGTTTTTCTTTTCCAGATATTGAACAAACAGAAAAATGAAGGTGAAGACGACTGACTTAGCTGCAGAAGCCAATATTTTAAGTTTCTCACGTTGATCTGGCTGACAGTTGATTGAAATATTTTAAAAAATGAATTTAACTATTTTAGTTAAAAAGAATTTTAAAAACAAACCTGATTTTAAAAAACTTGAATGTTTAACTAAATTCAAAAAATTTTATGCATGTTTTGTTAAAATATTATCTCTGTTTGGTGTTGAAGAAAAAAATCCAGAATACATAATGTTGTTGTTTTAGTTAAATAAAACAATTTAAATGTCTATCCTCCTAATACAGCATGGCAAGAAAATCCTCCAAATATTAATGATTAACCTGTTGAATTGGAGATAGTTCACCCCCCAATGACTTCATAAATATCTGCTTCAATTACTTTTGGTAAATGAAATAACCAATCATTCATTCATTTTCTGATATAGCTGTAAAACTAATCTGAAAAGTTTTCAAAATAAGTCACGTTAAAAATGTATAGTGTACCCCGTCTAAAAATGAAACCTACATCGATCTCTGAGTTGTGAAGAATATATATTAAGGTTATAACAACCAACAAGAATGCACTTTTATATAGAAATCCATGATTAAATTGAGTCTTCCTGACTAGTGATTTAAATCATGATTTAAATCAAATTCACCCTGACCTAGGACAATAGCACCAGGCCCGGAGAGGCATGAGACAAGAAATAAAACAAATTCCTCAGAATTAAAAAAAATCCCACGAACAGATTAAATGTCCCGTAACAATAGGTAAGTAGCGCCTGATAACACCTATATCTGTAGGTGTTTGTCCATTTTATCTTTTAGGTTGTAAGCTCTGAGCCAGGAGCTGTATTCTACACATTGCCTAGTATAATAGACCCTAGCACTACCAGAATACAAGTAACTTAATGGCTACCTGCCTCTGTCCTACTTTCCAGGTAGGTAGTAGCACAGGAATATGGGTGATAGCACTAAACAGCTCCACAAGTGAGGTTGAGGCAGCAGAAAGTCCTACCCCTTCCTAGTCCAAGGCAGGAACTGGGCAACCAGGTAACCTGTCGTTCTGTGAGGTGACATTTGCCACACCCAATTTTCACTCTTAAGAACACTGGAACTGATCCTGCAATTAGGATGAGCTGGTAGACTGAGGTTTATAATGGACAGCCAGCTTAGCCAATCATTCCTCAAAGAGGACTTGGCTAAACTTGTGAAGAAACAGCAGTCAAGACGCTGAGCTGCCTAGTGCCTATGTGAATAGTGACTGGCAGTGTTCTGTGGGCAACTATTAGGAATAAAGGCTAGAGAAAGAAGAAATTTTACTGTGTGGGTCTACATATTCAGAAGTGGTGATTTTGGGTTCCTAACTTCAGACAACTTAAAGTGGCTTGATATTGGGTAGGTGGCTCAGCAATTAGGGCTTTAAGTCTATAAAGTTTCATGTAGCTATTACACTGTTGGAGGACAGAGGGGGGGAAATTACACACAAATGAGATTGGCCTTTTTCCGTAAGAAAAAGTTTAATTTTTTTTATATTCAGGTATAATTTAATAATTTGTAAAGTGTTTACTTCCATTCTGTTAGATTAAATCTCAGGAAAAATTTCCTAACTGCAAGAACAGTAGGACAATGGAACAGACTTCATAGGGAGGTTGTGGAAGCTCTTTCACTGAAGGTTTTCAAAAGGAGGCTGGATAGCCACCTGTCTTTAGATGCAACACATCCTGCATCTTGGCAGGGGGTTAGACTAAACTTCTTACCCTATGATTCTACTCAGGAGAAAAAGAGTAGCACACCAGAAAAAGGCCAACACCATCAAATAGGACAAAGCATTTCCAAGAGATATATGTGCAGGAAACATCACTAAGTAATTTAGATGGGTTTAGATTATAACCTACACTTTGTAACAGTAACAAATGCAAATATCAAGATTTCATATATAGTACAGAAGGAAGATCATATTTTGGGCCTATTTCCCATTCCACCTAATAAGTACATACCACATACCGCATTAACTTATCTATGGTTGTTTCATCACTTCCCTTTGGAGACTACCCCAATACTGCTGGATTTGTTATTATGTCAAGCAACACTCAAACAATTGCCAGAAATTTGCCTCCATGCACAAAAGGCTATACTATGCTGTGAAGGTAAATAGTAAAAGACAAATCTACAATGAGAATATGTGGTATAGCTAAACACTGCTCTATTTTAAAACCCAGGTAAGTGTGCTTATAGGTAGCCAAAGCTCTTTAATTAATGCCCTGCATTAGAATTTTAGACCTCCACACATTTAGGACACAGCATCCGTAAGGTTTAATAACCTCAAATGCTTTTATTATAAATTCCTAACTTCATATTAACATTTCACTTGTTAAGAATTACTGTATGTCAGAGCAGCCGCACATCTGCATAAACATGCATGCGTGTTACAACTATACACATTTACAGCAATTTACAGGGCTGCAATTAACAAGAGTGGTGTTCCCTGGAGTCCCTCAGATGAGGGAGTCGCCAGCTGCATTAGCAGGTTTGGGCATTTCAAGAAAAGTTTTCTACTAGTATAAGAGAGCCACTCCCACCCAGCCCCCAACATGCAGTACAATGATATAGGCAGAAGCCCCATTTGCAACATGCCACCAACCACTCACTGCCTCCATCCTCAGCGTGGAGGGAGCCCCATGCTTCTTGCTGGTCACTGTCAATGCCTACAGAGTATTCCCCAAGCTGGTCACTGTCCTCAGCTGCACTGAGCAAATAGAAGGCGGAGTAGATTTCTGGACTGCTCTTGGGGGTGAGCAGCATCCCCAATCTGCCCCCTGTGGTAACCCATATTCTGGTGCCTGGCCCTGCAGAACATATGTGGAGGACAAACATGGACACATCTGACGGTGGAAGTGGTACTCTGATATGGCTCCAGCTCCCTTGTGCGTACTGGGTCTGGGACCAATCAGTACTATCTCCTCACAAAAAGGCCCCGAGGCAGCACAAAGATCCAGCCAGTGAGTGTGCAAAACAAGGTTTGACCTTCTTCACCTGCAAGGCCCAACACAGGTTACTACTTGGTTATCACTAAAAGCATCGCCCTGTCCTGAGCTCAACCAGTGGCCTCAGTTATCAAAACAAACATTTATGATTTAAGCAATTCACAGGTTCTAATCTGGAAATACAATAAAAACCAATCTGAATGTATTAGTCACATCATTATGAATAGCAACATGACATTCTTTACGTGGACAGCATCTCTAAAATAAGTTTGACTTTTAAGCCTATAGGCCCGTCACTTAGAACAGCTGACATTATTTCACTATAAGACTCAAATGCAACTACTGCTATTCCCACAGGCATGCTTTTTTCATGGTATTTTAGTAAGACCAAGCCCGGTGTCACTTTGTAATCATAAAAGAAATCAAGAATTTCATCCACGGACACACTAAATGGCATACTTTGCACTTTAATGACAGTTGACTCTGGCTTCCCAAAAGCCCTGGGGCGCACTTAAATTCTTAACACCACTATCAAAGCAAGGAGATCTCTTAACTAGGCCCATTCCCAGAGTTCTGAGATCCACCTCCAACACTTCATATTCCACTCGGTTTACTAGGACCACTTCCAAACCCTGGAGCACCAATACCTGAACCAGGAAAACCACTACTTCCAATTTGGTCTGCAAATAAGTACACAGAACTAGCTGCTAATGTGCATGAGTAGGGTTCACATGTATAGTTAGTCTGCGAGCAGGCTAGTGAGGAGTAGTCATACCCCAGTTTGCCACAAACTAAGGTTTGTGTTAAGAAGCCCTTCATCGGATCCATTTCCATTGTTTCAGTCTATGTACTGCATCTGCATATGTACCGCATCAACTCAGAGCCCATGAAAAGAACCTTTTCATATCAGATTTCACTGCAGAAAAGGGGTATTCCATGAACACTGACATTTAAAAAAAAAAAAAAAGTGATAGGAAGGGGTTTCGCACTACTTTTGAGAATTCATCTGAGGCTTTATAGGATTATTGAGAGACAAACACTGGATTCAAACGGTTGTTCATATTCACTGCTATTCCAGACCCATTTATTCCAGTACGTAAAAGGTGCTACAGCTGGAGGTTTCACAGAAGACATTCCTGGTATCACTGATGGTACAGAATGCACCAGGGGAAATGGAGGAACAAGAAGCAGGGCAAATACAGGACATGGGACAGGTTTAGGGGGAATAGAAGGCATTGGTGGCAAAGATGGCATACCAGGCACTGGCGAAGGTGGTACTGTGTTCACTGAGGATACTGTACTAAGCATAATTGAGTTAAATGGGGGGCTAGCAAAGGCAGCACCAGGATTCGGAATGCATTTCGCATGCTGGCCATAGAGAATGTAGGTTATGTTTTGGTTGCCTTCATGCACAGAAGTAGCTGCAGCTGCTAAACCGAGGACTGTTAGAAGTTGATACTACAGTAGATAAGTTTACCCTCGCACTGACACAGAACTAGGTGGTGGTCAGACCTGCTGGTGGCATATCTGAATTGGCAGTTCTATCATGTTTTGCATTTGTCATACAACTCAGCAAGAGTTACTTTTGACTCTTTAATGGTACCACCTGTGCCCACCATAAACACATCTTGCATCTTCCTCAGTGGCAAAAAGTGGTGAATGTCCATGGTCCCCCGCCACAATCAGAAGACCACGCAAATGGATAACCACAGCCATGCTGTGCTGAAATCTCATCTGCAGATGAGAAGAGGCAACTTCTATATCAGACAACTATTTATGACACAATGTATTTACCTACAGACACCACCTAATGTTTACAATCCTAAAGACCTCGTGACAATTAAGTGTAAAATTTTCACATGCACATAACATAGGCTCCCTAGTACCATTATCAAGAGTGATTTAGACACCCATTGAAAGCCAGTTGAACTTAAGCTCCTAAATCATATCGGTGCTTGTGAAAATGTTACCTTAAAGTATGTTAAATATTATGCCTCCAAATGCACTTTGCAACTCTAGAGCAGTTTATTAACAAAACAAAATTTTTATTTAGTGACAGTTAGGGTTGCATCAGAAGATGACTAGGGATGGCTCACCCAGCCATTGCCTCCCTTGCAAAAGTGTGGCATCTCAAAACGTATGAAGGTTAGACTGGTGAAAACCTTAATTTTTTCCATAGCAACTTATGGATGTGAATCCTGGAAACTAATGCTGCTGACAAGAGAAAAACTGAAGTCTTTGAGATGTGGTGCTAGCAAAGACTTGAGTATCTTATCTTCTGGATGGAAAAGACAAACAATTGTGTTAGAAGTATTAATGGAGAGAAGCTGACATCAGAAATCAATAGGTACACATTTATGTACTTTGGTCACATCACGCATAGAGATGGAATAATCTTCAAGAAAGATACGATGGAAGGAATGGTGGCAGGTAATCACAGTAGGGGAAGCCTGCAATGTCACTCGCTTCCCAAAACACTCCACAGCTTCTTATGCACTTCTTGAAATGGACTACACCCAGGGGTAGCTGCAACAGCCGGGTGTGTGCCTGTGCTCCAGCAGACAGATTTTGCTGGCTGTGTCCCTTGTCCCTGCCGGCATGAAGCACACCTCTTATTGCACGATGTGCCATAAACTGAAGCATGTTTTGTCACCATGCGATTTATTAAACCAGGGTTTCTTTGTTTTTGAAGAAAATGAATACAGGTATCAGTGAGGTTTGAACCCTGTATCTTCAAATCCCCAATCAAGACATCTACCACTTGAGCTAAAGCAGTAACAAGAAAAACTCAAACCAGTAATAAGGATAATTAACTATCTGAATAAACTACCAAGCATATGATGGACTCCCCATCAGTTCATCTCAAAAAGATGAACACTGTCCAAACAGCAAGTATTGGTTTGATGCAGTAATAACTTCGGGAAATTTTCTCACCTGTCCTATGCAGAAAGTCAGACTAGATGATCACAATAGTCACTAACGGCTTTAAAAAACCATTAATCTATTGTTATCCGCTACGTGAGCTAGTCACTAGAACAGGATGCCACATATTTTGCCTGGGAGTTACGCAATTATTTGCTAAATAGCATAGGATGTTGATATCATTAATTCTGGGTATCTATTCCAGGATCTGGAAGGAAGATGTTATCTAGTGGTTATAGACAGGATAGCTAAATCCATAGATTTGGCACGTTCATTCTGAGAGGCAGTGAGTCTCAGTGAGTAAGATTTGGATCTATTGTATTTGGAACCTGCTTACTATCCTGCTTATCACAGACAACGTGAACTCTCTGTTAACCTGCTTGTGTAATGAGGAAAAATGATTTTATCTGCCAGTGCTTCTAGAACAGTGGTTCCCAAACTTTAACAATCTGTGAACCCCTTTCACCAAAATGTCAAGTCTCAAGAACCCCCTCCTAAAAAAAGAATATTTCCAGGGATTTTCTCCTTTACCTGAGCATAAATTATAAAAGCAGTGATCTTGAAAATATAAAATTTGTTTTTATGACATGCTTATTACACACTATTTATTATTATTTATCATTACAGTATTTTTATTATATTCTGAAAACGGCAACACTCTTTCAAGATCTCACTTTCATAGCTTGTATCACTTTGAATAAGCTTGTTATAAAAGACAAGGCTCTTATGTTTCATCAAGAAGTATCAGATGTGAAACAGCATGAAGGTATCTAAGAAGCCAACTCAAAGAGTTCCTCTTATACAAGCATTCAGGTCTTGAGCAGATCAGGCAAACAACACACGTTACAACAAAGCTTAAACTTGTTCTTCATAATAATGTTAAAAACAATACTAGCTGCCTATTTCATTTTAACAACAGCAAAAAATATCTACCTCCCTTTCCATTTCTTATAAGGAGTCTTGAAGTTTAAATCTCCTCAGTGTGATAGATTGGCTTGCTTTGATCAGCTTAGCTCTGGGAAGTCCAGGGGCTCTGGGCTGTTGGTCCGTGCTGCCCGGGGTCCCTAGGGACAGCTCTGTCTGCCATTAGGGAATTTTTTCCCCCGAGAACCCCCTGTAACATTTCGTGAACCCCAGTTTGGGAACCACTGTTTTAGAACAAGGTATGAGCGCCTGCTCAATAAAGGACTCCAGTTTCCAGAAATATGAACAGAAATCAGGTGAGAGACCAGAATTCATGGTCCCCTGGCTCCCAGGTCAGTGGACCTTCCCTAAACTACAGGATATTTGTGGGGAAGTCAGCCTCTTCCTTCCCCTCCCTGCCTCTTACCCTGATGGGGGAGGGAAGGACACTAAAGAACTATGAATGCAGAGACTGGGACCAATCTGGAAGTGAAGACTAAGGAACAGGAGATATAATCCATCAAACAAGAGGAATTCAAAAACAAAAGAAATCCTCCTCGCCTTGAATTGCAAAGAGTGATTTAAAAGGAATTTTGTTTTAAAATCTTTTCAGAGATATATTAAATGTTTGGCTAAATTAAAGTTACTTGTTCTAATCTTATGTCAATACTTTCTAGAAGTCCCACAATGTGAGTGTGAATTAAAAATGCAAAGCAGAAATCCTTAAAATCAAGCTTGCTTGTTCAATTTTACCAAGAATAATATGAGCTAGGTGAAATTTTTTTTTCTAAATAGAAGCGTTAGAACATACTATGAATAAGTTAACTGCTACTTCTGTATTATTCAAACTGCCATGATGTCTACAAAAGCAAATCTGCATCTGAAACATATGTATACTTCATTTTAAGAATGCCAACATTATTTGTTTGATTTGGGAGAAACATTAACTGACAGATCTTTTATGGTAAGACTATAAAAAGAGTAAGTATTTATAATAATTCTGAAATTTAAGAGCAGTACTACTGAATTGTTTTAAAAGAGCTGAACTTATCTGATTAGAATACTCACCTAGAAAAGACCTGTTGCTTATATAGTTGAAAACATTCCAAATGTTTAACCTATGACTACAGGAAGGGGAAAAAAGTCATCAGTGCTATAACAAAGGTATTTTAAAGTTCTGAAAAACAGTTACCTAAAGGAATAACTTTTAGTCCCCAAATAATACAGCCAACACCTTCAGGAACTCCCAACTTTTAAATGTGAAAGCTCTGTAAATATTGAGGCTTAGTAACTGTTCAGTGCAATCCTTGTTAAAAGACATACCATGTATATACCTTTATTTTTTTATTTGTATGTCTTTAAATATCAGAAGTCTTACACTAATTACTTTATCCTTTAACAAACAGAAGTGGTTTTGTCCACACTGCCTCTCAGTTGGTGAGCCAACCACTTCAGAAGAGCTTTGGAAGAGTTAACTAAAAGCTTAATTACTATAGAATACCTATCTTCCACCCTTGATCTCTGTGCAACCCTCTCATTGTTACTAGTTAAAATTCTGCTGTGTACTAAACAGGAGTGCAGGGTCTTAAACTTATACCCTGATCTATACTTTTAAAATGGAATTTGGCTCTTTTCCCCACAATGAGTTTGACACCCCTTTAATCTAATCTGTTCTAACATACTCTGGATTCTAAATACCTGTTTAAATCGTCCAGTGTTTCAGTCCATGTAAATAGAATTTGTACAGCAGCAGTTAACTCTTCTTAAAGCAATTCTTCTTTCCCCTTCCTGCAGCAACTCCCTATTTCAGTCCCCCATATACTTCGCTCCCACTGTCTCATAGATCTCATCTGCTAAAGCGATCACCAATTAAAGATTACATTTGAAGTGTCACTGTTTGGGCTTCTACAAATTGATGACAGACAGATATGGCAGCTAGACAGACTCACTGACTTGACAGTAAAGGTGCATTTGTTTGAAGTGTAGGAGATAGGCACTTCTGAAAATTTTATACCAACTTCCATGTTCAAAAGTGACAGACATTCAGGAGCTTTAGTCACTTAGTCACTTCTGAAAATTTTACTGAGTCCAGAATTTTGGAGACAGGAGTTTTCAGTGAACCAAGCCCTTGTTAAGTGGCCAAGGTAGAAGATCTTTCCACATCATCCTAGAGAGAGATCTAGTAAGTGGTTTCCTACTTGTAGGAGAATGTTCTGTATTTCTGCAGAGCAGCTTCTCTCAGTATTATGCTCAGCCAGTCAACTTCCATTTGTCAGATACAGAGACCTGGGGTGATGGATCCTCCCCTGATTTTGAGACAGAACATCTGGGATGTTCAGGAGTGAGACAGGTCATACAGCGAGCTAGATGTAGCAGATCCATGACCCAGAACTCTCTCACCAAAGAAGAAGCTGTGAAAGTCACTGTGGCTGTAATTTGTCTCATCTTTCTGATAACGGAGGATGAGAGGAGCCAGTGGGGAAGTCACACAAGACCTGACCAAGAAAGGCATCTGGGAGAGAACCTAGATTTCTTCCCCCTTCCTCTGGGGCAGAATAGGCAGCACTTGTTTTACCACCAACCAGAATAAGACTACCTCACCTACAGAAAAGGATTTTCAGAGAATCCTCCATGGACCACACATGATGAGCTGTGTACTGCCTGATGCAGTAATCTGCTGGGCTATTGCTCACTCTGATGTCTGTGAAGGGCTGTCATGTTTAGCATCAAATAACACCATCAGCTTCAAAATTTGATTGCTTCCTGACACAAAGGGGAGGGAAGATCAAGATCTATGTATTGTATCTGAATACTGACACTTCAGTAAAGGAAAGAAATTTGT